TTTGCCAAATATATTGCCAACTTGAACTTATCAAAGAAATGACAAAAAAATTGGCAAACAATATTTTTTTCTTTCAAAAATTTTTGATTACTTTTGTAAAAAAAAAATAAAAAAACTTTTGTATTTCGATTGTTCTTTTAAAAGAAAACTTTTTCATTGTCCTCTTATAAAAAGAAAATCCTGACGAATAAAATGCAATTTTTACCAATTCTAATGAATTTAAAGAGTTAAGGGAGAAAAATTGATTGAAAATTTTTATGTAAAACTTAAATTGATTGATTATTGAAAAGTTACACGTGTACCAAAATAAAGATTCCACTTTCAAAAATTTTTTGCACAATATTATTCATACTATAGGTCCAAATATAATACGAACCAAAATTTCTTTGATATTTTTATATAAAAAAAATTTTTGAATGTAATTAAAAAAATTCAAGAGTACCTGGTAATGACGTATTTTGGCATGGGATCACAATTCAAACGTTATTCAAATTTAATTTTTTATAATTTTAATTGAAAAGAACCCATAGACTTTTTCCAATAAAAATTCTTTTATACATTTCAAACTATTGTATAAGAAGAGGAACGGGGTAAGCCGGTGTAATTAATTAAAATTTAAAGAATATTAAAATTCATCTAATAAAGCGTTAAAAATTTGAACTCACTATATTTTAGTGTACAATCTACGTGTTGAAACTTAGTGTAGTCGATCAGTTAACCTCAATCAAATTATAGGTTTGTTAAGCACAAAGCTATAATTGCTATGATTTGATTGAATTTTCAAGAAACATGAGTTTTTTCAGTAGACAATCTACACATCGTTCTACACAGAAATTACTCACGTGAGTTATGAATTAAAAATGCTCAAAAATCTCTAATGAAATTCATTCCCACTGTTTGCTGGATTAATTACTAACAAAAAAAAGCCCTCATCGCTCCTCAATTAGGTTTGGATATTTTACATACACTGAATAAACTTTCTGATTTGAAAATTTTAATATAATTAAAAGAGTTACCCACGCAATCAGGATTTCTCCTCAAGTTTTATTACTAGTATCAGTATATTGTAGTTCCTCTATATCAATTGCTGAAGTTCCTCCAAATCAAATTAATAAAAAAAAAACATGGTATTTACTAAAATTTAATTTTCATTTTTTAAAGTAAAAATTATACAATGAAATAAACAGCAATAAAAATTACACACATACGAGTGTAGTAGAGCACGACATTAAAAAAAAAACAATCATAAAAATCAAGAAAAATATTTTTGTAAAAAAAACTTTTCCCCCCAAAGATATGAAAAATATGCGATTTCCTTTTAAAATGACATTATTTTTTTTTTACTCTTTTGATTTGAACAGTTATTATTTCTCTATTTTCTCTTTAAACTGAAAAATATTTTCTATATATGAACGGGGTTTTTTTTTTTTCGTAGCACACTTAAAACAGTATGTACATATTTAAAGATTTATGGGGTCTTGTTTTTTACGATATAATGCACAAACATACATGAACACAAACACACTATTGTATATATAAAATGAAATGAGGGATAAAAATGAGAGGAGAACTAGAAAGTTATGACCTATTGTTGGATGACAAATAACTCTTGAAATTCCACTTGTTTTTTTTTATTATGTTTCGCATTATTGTTTCCTAATGTCTTATTGAATGGCCCAATGGCATAATAAGTGAGTACTGAGTATTTTAATGGGTTCATGTATTTTTGCCCTTTTACAAATTATACATAGATGGTGAGAAGGTTTTAAAAGAAAAAGATCGTACAATAAACGGTAGAGTCTAGGGGAGAAGGGTGGGAGGCGGACAAAGGAAGTAAGAAAAGAATTATGAGTATTTGTTTTTGTTCCTTTTTCTTAATTTTTATTTTTCAATTTCATTCTTTTGTTTTATTTATTTATTACTTTTAAGTCCTGTATATCTTTTTTTAGTTTTTGTATCTTTTAACATTAAAAAAATGAAATACCATCAAAGTTCTTAAATTGTTTTTGTTTTTGCTTTTTAAATTTTTGTATCTTTTCTTGTTTTGATTCTTCTTTGGTTTTTGATTCATATTTGGAAAAGAATTTCAATTTATAGTGTCATATTTATTAAGATAAATAACGTAACATATCATTTTGGGAACAAAAAAAAAAAAAATAAAATTACAGTATAAAGTTAAAACCAAGAAGGATTTTCTATATATGTGAAAGGATATAAGGGAAAAGATGATTATTTTCTTGTTTTTTTCTCTATGTTTTGAGAAAATTTATTATTTTTATAACTACAACACATATACGACATACAAATACTAAGTGTTTGAAGAAGATTTTTTGAAATTTGGTAAAATTAATAAATTTTTACAAAAAAAAAACGAAAAAGATGAAAAAACAAAATTAATTGTAAAAAGTTTAAGAACCTGATTTTGATGACACTTTAAAAAAATAAAAACTTTTTTTAGGAATTGCTTGGTACGGAAGTAAAAATTTTCATTTTTAACTTATTAAACTAATTATACTTATTGGTTTAAATGTGTGTAATTATTATAATTTTAATAGCCTTAAAGTCCTAAATAAATTCTTTAATTTTTGGAATATTCCTGTTACAATCAATTGCACTCAGGAATAAGAATAATATAAAATATAGCAGATTATGCTAAATTCTAGTTTATTATGCTACATTCTAACGTAATATGCCAAATTTTAGCAAAATATGCCAGAGTCTAACATTATGCCTTAAAGTCTAGCACATTTTGCCAAATATATTATTATACAATATTTTAGCACATTTTGCTAAATACTGGCATAACATATTAAAAATTAGCATAAATTCTAAAATTTTAGGTATTTATGCCAAATTGTAGCATATTTTGCCAAATTCTAGCATATTATGCCAAATTCTAGCATATTGTGCTAAAGTACGCAGATTGCATCAAATTCTAACAAATTATGCCAAATTTTAGAAGATTGTGCCATTTTCTAGCATCATATACTAAATTCTAGCATAATATTCAAATTTTAACAAAATATCTCATATGTCCAAGTTTAGCATAATATACAAAACTTTATCCTAATTCTAGCATAATACGTCACATTTTGGCATATTAAACTTAATTCTAGCATAATATTTCTTAGTTATGAAAAAATGCATTGCTATTTATGCAAAATGACTATGGTTTTCCATTTTTTCTCTTTCGATGAAAAAAAGTGAAAGTGTCAACATAAACAATTCTGAAATAAATTTATATTTTCAAATTAACTATATTATTTAAAAAAATTCAAAAGTAATTTTAAATTCATTCTACGATTGAAATGTTACACAGGAAATTTTTGTCGAAACCTTGGTTTAAATTTAATTAAAAATCATACATACACACATTAAAAGGACGAGATACTCAAAAGTTAAATTTTACTTTTTTTTCTTTCTTATAAAAGGAATTATACAATTATATAAAATGAAAGAAAAATAAATATTTACTTAACACATCATTACACATTCATAAAAAAAATGAAATAAATTAACTTTTATACATTTAAAAAAATATTTTAAATATTTAATTAACGACTATTGCAGTTATTGTAAGGATATTAAAGCGAAAAAATGGCATAATTGCGGTATTACATTACATCAATAAAAAAATTTTATTGCATTTAAAATGCTGCAAGAATACTTTTAGCAACAACAAACAACAATATTTCTCTGTTAACATTTTTATGCATTTTACAAATTATTGTAGAGTATGAATGACTGAGTGTTATATTAAAATGTGGAAAGGCGCATGTTTAAAATTTCTGGAACAAATAAAAAAAAATAGAGAGAGAATTTCGCATTATATATTGAGAGAAGTAAATTTTGCCCTGCATAAAAATATTTTCTGCATGTTTCTGCAAAATTTAGTTTAATTAAAGAGTAATGTAACATAAAAAGAGAAAGCTTTGAATGAGAAACTGCACTGCAGACTACAGCTGATAGAATAAGCAACCGTTGCCCGTGACGTGAGACTCCCGAATATTCAATCAATTGTTTAGTTACTCATAATGCACTTAAATATTTTTTAGTTATCCTTTCTATCTCTTCTTTTTTTAATGAAACATGGAAGGACTGTATTAACATTATTGCCGATTCCAATATACAAGTTTTGGGAAAACTTTAAATTATTTATTTCGAGTTATAATTAAAATTTTTTCGGAAAACTTCAATCTATTAATTTGAACTTATTAAATTGGGTGCAATACATTTTTTTTCAAAATTTCAATTATATTATAGACAAACTCTTTTATTTCGACAAACACTCAAATTTTATCAGTTTTACTAAATTTACATATTAACTTTAACAGAAATATTAGAATTTACGGCGAAAATAAAATTTTTACATTATACTGTTAAAATATACTGCTAAATATTCAGCAACACGGTTTCGTCCAATTTCGTTTACAATTTTAAAAAAAATTTTTGGTTCCTATATTATACAGATTAATTTTGGCAGAAATGCTCTTATTCACAAAAAAAAATTCTAAATTGTGATTCGTTCTTTTCGGTTTCATTTTATTCTGAATAAAGCGAATTCATTTTTCGCCTTCTTCTGAAATCAATTTCACTCGGTATACATGTTCTTCCCACAAACTTCAATTTCTCTATTAATTCTGCAAAAGCGAATGATAGACACTTTCGTTTCGTATGTGTGTATTTTTCGGATATTTTTGTTTTTTGTTTTTTTATTCATTCTTTTAAACTCTTTTACTGCTGATGCTACCGTTAAAATTCGTTTAACTTCATATTTTAATCATATATATATTTGTGTATGTTTGTGTATATGCTATTATAATAACTGTAAATATACCAGTAAAAAAAAAATTTTTATTTGTTATTTTTTCTATTCTATGTGTAGTTAGTATAAGTATTTTATTGTGAATACTTAATAATTTTGTATTTCTGCTAAGGATATAATCGGTGCGTGTTTTAAACAAATTAGTTTAGTTTTATCCTTACATTTGTCGGTTGTGGTTGTCTTTTTTATATCAAGAAAAAAAAAAACAAAAATAAAAAATATAAATAAAAATAAAATAAAAATTAAAAAAAAAGAATCTACCTATTTATTTTTTTTTTAATTTTAAAATTACATGGTGCGCTATTTGATATTTTTAACGTACATAAAAAAAATAAAACAAAAAAAAAATAGCAAATTGAAAAAATACAAAAAAAAAATTAAAAATCCCAAATAAGTTAAAAAATAACGGAATTTACTTATTGCATTTATAAATATTCGGGCAAAAAGTATTTGTTTTAAAATCATAAAAATAAGTCGAATTCGCGCTACAATCACCAACAAAAAGAGAGAAAGAGAAATAAAAAAAACACCGTTATTTATTTATTAATTTTTTTTTTACATTCAGAAATTTCGAATATTGAAGTTTTTAATATTTATCTTTTTTTTTTGTGATATATAAAAAAAAATATATTAAAGAAAATTAAATGCAAATATGAAATGAAAGGAAAATATTTAAATACAATAAAAATATGAAGTAAATAAGTAATAATTAAATAAATAAATAAATAAAAAAAAATAAATAAAAAAGAAAATTAAATCTCTATTAAATACCATTTTCGTCATTTTGTGTTAAACAAAAAAAAAAAAATAAAATAAAAGAAAAAAAGGAAAATTAAAAGGTAAAAAAAAAACGGTTGACGGCGCTCCTTTAGCACAAGCAAAAAAAAAGAAACAAATAAAAATTAACAGAAATTTATACAAAAAGAAAACATAAATTTTATTAATAAAAATCAAAACAAGGAAAAAAATTAAAAAGAAAGAGAAAAAAAGGAGAATATTACGGTTTTCTTTTTAATTTCTTGTTACCACAATCACATGGTTGGATAACTGTTTTTCTTTAAATTCAATTTTATGTTGTTTTTTTTTCATTTTCTGATTTTTTTTACTCTTTTCATTTCAGAAAACTGTTTTTTACTGTTACTTTACTTTATTTTTGATCACCACCGCCTCCGTCACTTCTCCTCTCTCTCATTCTAAAACATTAATATTTCTATTTTGTTTCTTTTTTTTTCCATATACTCTTTCATATTGTGTTTTTAATAAAACATTGTTGTTTTTGGTTTTATTGTTGTTTTTATTTTATTGCTTTGCCTTCAATTCTTCGGTTTTTAATTTAATTGTTTTGGTGGTGGTTTTTCATTCATTTATTTATTTTGTGTGTATATTTTTACCGTTATTTTATTATACGTTCCTATATTTTTTTTATTTTTAAGTACGTTCCCGTTATAAAATTACTGTTAATTTTTTATTATTTTTTTTTTCTCTTTCGAATTCTTTATAACGCGTTTCTTATATTTTAATATAACGTTTATTATTTTCTTATACAAAAATATTTTCTTGTTTATTATTACAAAAAAAAAAACGATAATAATAACAATAAAATGACGTGCCGGTTGTTTTTGTTGTTGTTAGTTGTTGTGATTGTTTCTTTTCTTATATTTTATTTCTTTTACTCCTTTTGCATTTTTTCAAGATATCAATGAGATTATAAGTGAAATTAAAAAATAATAATACCTAAATTTATTTTAGTATGCATGTATGTATACAAAATAAAAATATTTATAATACTACGTTAATAATAATGATAACGGTAAATAAAACGGTACCTAATATTTTATATGTTCTTGTTTTATATTTAATATGTGTGTATATTGTATTAAATACTAAAATATTATAGTTAAATGGTACTTATGAAACAAAAGGGTTCCATACATTGTAATATACTAGTTTATTTCATAATGAAGTAGAAAACTACTTTGTTAATTTTCTCTCTTTTTTTATATATAATTTTTTATTTAAATGAATTTTGATTATAAGTAATTAAGGTCGATCGAATTGATAAATTACATAAAAAATAATGAAAAAAAAAAATAAATAATAAAGTTAAAAGTACATTAATAGAAACAGAAAGTATATTAATACACAGATTGGGGAGAGGACGTAAGAAGAAAAACCAAAGAAAAATAACAGAGAAAGAAAAAACAAATAGGAGTGGGGAGGGAGAAAAAGTGTTATTGTTTATTTTACTCTGAGATGATTAAAAAAATCAGGTCGGCTTTTTTTCTTTTTTTTTTTTTTTGACTTGCTATGTTTTCATTTTTCTTATTAACTTTATACAACATTAATTAATTTAATACAAAATATATTATACATATATATTTATATGTATGAGCATATATACAACATTGTATATTGCTGCTCCTTATTAAGTTTAAAGTTTAAATGAAAGAAGTTCAAAGATTTTAAAAGAAGCCTACATACTTTATGTTATACATATGTCATATACAAATATTTACACATTATTATATAAGTATATTATGTAGATGCAAAGTATGTACGACAAAACATACATTTTAAAGATAAAGAAATAAAAAAAAGCATAAAACAGAAAAAAAACAACAGAAAAACCAACAGAAATATTAAAAAAAAATAAAGAAAAAATTTTCCTCTTATTTTGTTATAAAAACAATAGAGTAAGAGTGGGGGTAAAATAAGGCATACAGAAACAGAAAAGGAAACGGGAAAAAAGAGATGGGGGCTTAGACGAGGGAATTGAAAAAATATATTATAAATGTTAAAATTTATATCTAAATATACGCACACTTACATAACATAACACTCATACAACTTTGTATAACAAAAAATAAAGTTATAAATCAGATCTCTCTTTTTTTCCTCTTTTTTTTTTTGATGTTTTGATGTGGTCTCTTGGTTGTTGTTGCTGTTTTTATAACATTTTTCTGATATGCCTTTTAAAATAATGTGTTTTTAAGAGTTTATACATATAATATGTGTAATGTTTTCATTTTTATTAAATAACAAAATATTTTCTTAAATAAAAATGAAAATATAAAAAAAGAATTTATTACTTTAATATACCAATAAAATTTTAAACGATTTAAATAATTAATAGGGCTATAATCATAATAAGAGTACTTTAAAGATGACATTGAAAAAGTTTTTATATTATACAATAACTTGATTATACGGAGTATTTGATAATTACTCATATGGAGAGGAAATATGTATGAGTAATATTTTAAGTTTGAAGACAAAATACTCTATATGTGCATCGCAAGGCTCAATTGGAGGGTTGGAATTATTTTGCCGTATTTTAACCTTTCGGCCGAATCACCTGAGAGGCATGTACTTCACTGTTTTTTGTTATGTTAAATTGTATTAAAATAAGCGTTAAATAATTGTTAATTGAAATCTAGGATGTTGTTAGAACCTAAATTAACATAACGATTGGGTTAATAGTTGGTCGTTTGGCTTAATGTTGCCGATATATTGAAGATTCCTTTTTTCATATTAAATCTCTTAATCAGTCTGACATAGAAAAATATACTTCAAAGACGTATTCTTCGAGAATCAAAAAGAATTTCGGAAATTGTAATTCATTAGTATCGCCAAAGTATTTTAGTTCAAAAGACTTTGTGTACCTCTTGGAGAACAGAAAATTGCACTCTTTATATGTTTTAAAATCGACATAGTTTTATTTCGAAATATTGCGATAGATCCTTAAGATAAACTAGTAATCATCCTTAAGATAAACTAGTAAAACATATGAGATAATGAGATACGTGATACTAGACTGATCTAAAGAATCAACACCGACTGATTACCTTTGCAATTTTCAACTGACTGAAAATTTTTTAATATTTTTCATATACCAATGATATTGATGTCCTCCTGAAAAAATTTTGTTAGAATAAAACATGAAATATATATAAAATATGTAAATACAACCACACAATATTCTTCAGAAAATGCCTTTACCAAAGAAAGGAACAAAAAAGCAGAATAAAAACTGAAATGTAATACATAAAATGCCATTTAAGGTTAACAGTTATTGCGGTTTCTAAAATGCACTTAGTTTCTTTGATGTCTTCTACATTTTCTAATGTAAATTTTGTGGTTAGTTTTCATATTATAATATTCACAGTAAGACTGCTACTAATATTACAAAGGAATAATTTATGTATGTATGTAAAAAAATAATTTACTTTTCATACATGCAAATAGATTTGTTCACCCTAATGTACATACTTAGTTAAAATATTAAAATTTAAATTTATTTGTTTGTTATTTTAATTCTATTAAACAAGTTTGTTTCCCCTTTTGAGAATTGTGTAAAATTATTTAACTATAGAGTAACTCAATTGAAAAAGTTTATTTTACAAGGAAATAATATTGTTCGGCTTTATATAATCTAACTATATGGGACAAGACATCATGAAATGAGGTCGTCATAATTGTTACAGAAAATTAAAGACAACAAAAAAAAAATGATGCAGCTGTGGAATTTATTCATTCATAAAAATTAACAATTAAACTTAATGAACAATGCAATTATTGCAGAGCAACAAACACTTTTCTTCCAAAATTTGCGATAGAAACAAAGTCTAGACGAAAATTAAAACAAAAAAATTATTTAATTTAAAATTATGACAAGAGAAATAATGTTCTCAGAAAATACTATGTAATTTACTCACAATTGATTATGAACATGGTGATTTTATGTTCGTTCAATAACTGATAGGATACCATTGAATCAGCTGTGTTTAACGGGTGAAGAAGCCCTATTATATGCCAGTATTGCCATCTATATTAGTTTAAACATCAAATGGGACATTTTCTTTATCATTAAGCCAGGGTTTTCTTAAATATTACAGCGTTTACGTTGACAGATCTGTGGTAACATCAGAACCCTATCTAAATCAAGCAACAAATTATTAAAAACGTGCCTTAATCAAGCTATTATTATAAAAATTAACCAATTAAATTGAAAACCAAATTTAATGTTAAAGTTAATGGGACCGGGAGACGTTTTTCACCTCAACTTTGTAAGCTTTTCTTTGATCTCACAGAATTCACATTGTATTATTCTTTTTCCTGCTTAGCGTTACTGTGAGCCAAAGCTTCCCCTCCTATTTTGTTCCATTTCGTTTGAACCATTGCTAGCTTGTTATAATTCGTCACTCCCATGGTATGGCGGTCCGCTTCTAACATATCTAGCCACCTGCTTTTCAGTCTTCCTCTTGCCTTTGTTCCTTGTTCCCGATGTGTGAATATTTTCTTGATCACACAATTTTTTGGCACTATATTAAACTGAAATATTCCATGTTTGCTGCGCTGTATTCTTATATTTTTGTTTATTCACTGAGATATACAAGAACAGTTTCGAGTTTCGTTGCCAAAAAGTGTGAAATGATTGATTATTGTTCATGGTTTAGGAAGGGTAAGATTTAAGTAAGTAGAGACGCTTTTAAGCTCATGAAATATTGTTTGACTTGACAATGTGCCCTTATTTGCAAAGGATAACTTTCCCAAAAGTCGAAGAAGTTTAATTTCATAGGGCACAAATGATAAAATTATTATTAAACTCTTACTTTTTGTACCATAAATTTCTCTATCAACAGATTTTTTTAACTATTCAAATATTTTTATTGAAATAAATGAAAAAACTGACATTTTTAATTAAATTAAACAATTTGAAAAGTTTAAAACTCTCAGTTTATTATTCAATTTATCTTCTATAGAAAAACTAAATTTTCAGTTAGTTATACCGTATGTGTATAGTTATCATAGTAGATTTTGAGCGATACATATAGACATTTGTCGTTTTTGAATTTTTAAGTGAAAGTAAAAAACTATAAGGATTTGTTGTTCATGAAATTCTTCACATGAAATAGTCATCCCAACAATTTATAATTTGTTAAGTTTAATTAAATAGAGAGGTAAAAATAACTGGGATAGTACTTACGAGCTTAAATTGTCTAAAACAGAGCTTCATTGCAATTGTTATTCGTCATAAT